TGCATGTACGTATGTGTGTATATATATATACATATAGAGAGAGCTACATAGATAGCTAGCTAGCTAGCTAGCTAGCTAGCTAGCTAGCTAGATAGATAGATAGATAGATAGATAGATAGATAGATGGAACCATGCGTAATTAATCTATATGTACATGTGTATGTATGTATATCTATATATATATATATGTGTGTGTGTGTGTGTACATGTGTGTATACATATATATATATACACATGTATATGTACATGCATCCATCGATAATGAAGACAAAATGTCCACAGACCTACCGAGGGGCACTCGACTTGGGTCCAACAGGCTTCCAGGTCGACACAGCCCAGGAGGGCCTCAACGCGCCGGGAAGCCCCGAATCCCAGACTCTCCCACCCTGCGCTGTGCGCTCCGAGGCCCAGGGCAGACGTCGGATAGCCACCCGACTTAGAGGGCAGTGGCCTCGGGGTTTTGACAAAGAGAAATCCTCACTTCGCGAATCCGGGAGACTGGGTGTTCCACGGAATGGGGACGCCGGCAGACTCGTAGATGTCCCGGTACCTGTGATTCGAGCAGCACCGGGCTGCTCGTCTTATGCCTGCCCCTCGTCTCAAGAAAAACAGAGTTTTCCACACGTCCCAGCCTCTCTTCTAACGCCGCAACTTCCTCTGGATCCGGGGCTTTGGAAGTCGCATGGATCCAGAGCCGGCCTTTCTGCACAGGCTTTGCACACGGCTCTCTCACTGGGAGATCCGCCTCGATGATCCGTGCTCCACCTCAGTCTCAGCATGAATCAGCCCTAAGACCTAAGACAGGGCGGCCCTTTCAGGGCACCCCGTACGGCATAGCCTACTCTACTGAGGCCAGCGCGAGCGGCCTTCGGCGCGCTTGAACCCGTAGACCAGCAAGGAAGCCCAGGGCTGGTGCATGGAGAGGCACTGGCCAAGGCAGAGTCAACCCACTCAGAAAAAAAACTCACAAATCTCAGTGCTCCTCTCCTCTCCGTGTCAATGCACATCGACGGCAAGATGTGGGTGTGAGGAATGGCTTCCTCTGCCACGATGCCTGTCCAGCATCCTCCGCATCTCCATACGGACTCTCCTGCTGCTACACAGGAATTCAACGGAGATCTTCGCACTCAGCCGCAAGCCGGGAGATTACGCCACAGCCAACGTCGCCGCCCCTTTTATCTGGCAGCTGGTACGGGTAAAGAAGGTACCAAGAAGAGCACCTCGCCAAATCAAAACTGTCCGTCCTTCCGAGCGTACAGTCCTCCAAAAGAGAATTGAGAGAAAACCTGCTTCCTTCACGCCTCTTTTGGCGAGCTCCAACCAGCCTAGAAACCGTACTGTACAACAGATCACGGCCACACGGTTTTCACGCAGCGATGACGTTCAGCTCCCACACCAAGCTCTGACTGAGCGATTCTCATGGCGATGACCAGCACAAATCGGGCCGAGCTTCAAATCGCTCGGTGCTCTAATCTTTAGAGAAGACCCAGATTTGATTGTCATTGCCGACGTGGCAGGGAAATAGCTGCACGCGGCCTCCTACTGTGTCAGGCTGTGCAGCATCCAGGCAGTTGCCGGCTTGAAGCTTCACCTCTCAGCAAAGCAGCGAGCACGTATAGGACCGGTAGGGGCACCGCAGCTAGGCCTCCTTTGTTTCCTTGTCGTACCTGGGCACACAACGCGACAACTTGCACACCCCAAACGCCGAACCCCGCAGTCTCAACCCAACCCCCAAACTCCCAAACCCTCAACCCCAAACCCCTAAACCCTACAGGCTACAGTGACAGTCCAAACCCCAAAACACCATTTCATGGGCAAGACGCGTCCACTTTTGACTCGCCGCGTCAGGATCGCAGGCGGTGGTGCGAACGGGAGTTCCGACCTGGGCTGTTGTTTCGGGTTTAGGAACTTGCCTTACGCTTTCGTAGTTTCAATTACCATAATGGGGAGGTCCAGTACTCTCCTTGTTTCAATATCTCACATGAAGCTCCCTAAAATCAGACTCCGTGGAAATGACAATCATGCATTCCATATGATAATTCTCATAGTGACTATGATTTTGGTCATGGTGATTTCTGCTATCATTATTGTCATTATTGTTATTGTTATCGCCAGTGTCATTGTCAATATCATTGCGATTGCTAGTGTTAGTGACGTGATGCTCATACTGCTATTCTTGAATTCATCATTGTGACCACCATGAGTATCGCTTCGATTATGGCATTAGGCTCCTGAACAAGAACCCAGCGACTGGCTGTGATGGGAAAGCGCCGACGACTGGGGCCTCGTGTCGCGTTCAAGCGAAAAGATCCAGGGGCTTGTTAACTTATCTTACCTTAACCCTAAACCTCAAACTTGTTGCTGTTGCATGATCCTTTTCGACCTTCGCAGCAGGGTTTTTGGGGGTTTAGGGCTCCGTGCCTCCAAGCATTCGCCATGCCGGTCCTTCAGAAGTCCGCTAGTTGCATTGTAGATCCACCTAAGCTCAATTAGCCGGTCTCTCAGCGAACCTGGGATCTTCCTACTGAGAGTGCAGGCAAGCTGCAACTGAGAGCCATCCGCCGTGCACGGTTGAAGCAACGGATCTCCGTGCCAAGGCTCCAGGCAAAAGCCTTTCGGCGTCTTGATGCGACCGTACCTGATTGGCAAACTGGGTCCCTTCCCGAATGTCAGGGGAAGGCAGCCAAGCGACAGCGAGATGGGACTGAACTTGATCGGCATGGTGAGCCAGCCTTTCCTGGATAAAAAAGATTGCGAACCGCAACGCAGGAGCGATGTGGAAATTTCATCAATGCGTTGCCTGCCGCAGTTCACGGACCACTGAGAGGATGAAAGGGGCGGCCCATACTCATCCTCTGACAAGATGTACGCATAGTCGAAGCCTGCACAGGCAGCATCGCATCTTGCTCATCCAATGCAGCAACACTCGTCGCAAACACTTTATTTAATTTACATTGGCTGTGGATTTCGTCTGGGCATGTTTGAGCTGTAGTTTGTTCCCAAAATAAACTCGAAACGACATGCCCTTCTTAAACAAAGCCAGGCTAAAATGATCATGAACGAGTGCTGATGACAGCAGCTTGGCCTTGTGTACATAAGGCTGGGCTAATGATCCACTTCTTTCCGCTTTGGCCAAGACCACAGTGAGGTCCTCAGGACACGGTGTTTAAAATACCCTGAAGTCAGTGACATCCGTGGGAGTTTGACTGATCTCTAGATTCTCTAGACTCCAGACATCTCTGGACTTGTTCTGCTGTCTTTGCATGCCGAGTCTCCATGGTACAAGTAGCTGCCGTCTAACGCCCTGCCGCGACAGGCAGAGCAGAAACGCTGCCTCATGAAAGCATCGCTCGCCGGCCTGTAGAGCGGAGCTCCACTGTCCGTCTCGCCCTGCAGGTCAAAGACCTTTTCAGACCACGTCTAGCATTTGAGAGCAAAGGCACGACCTGAAATGCGCAGAGCAGAGCAACTTACATGCTGCACCAAAACATCTCGGACAAGCTGCAGTGTTCACGAGAGCCTTCCGGTCCGTGCAGAGGCTGCTGGTGATCTGCAAGCTGGAGTTGACTCGGCTCCAAACATTGCCAGGGATTTTCTCCTGAGTGCTCAAGAACCTCCCGGACGAAAGGCACAGTCGCGACCGTCAAAAGAGCTTTGGCCAAGAAGCCTCCACAAGCGGGCTCAACTTCAACCTGACATGCAGGAGATCAAAACAAGCCGTGTAGGACAGCATACTAAGGATTACCACACGAAGATCAATACGTTGTGGCCGAGCTTCGTCATCCTCAGTCAGCTGATCACAGGGCAGGCACAACTTCTACGACCGGGATCTGAAGGTTTCAGGCTTAACCGTCAGGGCCTCGGGCTTGGGCTTGCTTAGAGGGTTTAGGCTTTGGCAATCCACTGCAGAAGAACTGCGATTCGTTCGATTCGGCCATGATGCTCTTGCCAGCCAGACCCTCGGCAGTCCATGAACCACGTTGCTGTGTCCGGTGGCCTGGCACGGCAAAGAGCTACAGCCGCTGAACCCTTGAACCCGCAATGAAAACCCTTACAGAAACCTACACCCTAAACCCTAAACCCCAAACCCTAAACCCTAAACCCGGTCCACCCCCGGTAATCCCCACAGAGTCGCGACAAGACTCGCCTTGAGGAGTCATGGTCCACGGTGTAGGCCAGGTAGTAGCCCGCATTGCAAAGGGTGGGGCTCCTGGGTCGAAAGATCGGGGTTTAGGGTTTAGGGTTTAGGGCTTAGGGTTTAGGGTTTGGGGTTTAGGGTTCAGGAAACTGACGGGCCTAAACCCTACGCCCTTATTACCCTGAACTGTGCAGAAGGCCCTAAAGATCTCTTCAAGGATTCCGATGCCAGGTGTTGGGGTAGTTAGATTTCTTCTCGAAGGGCTTCTGAAGGGCTCTGCAGGCGAGTTTGCGGTCTGAAATCTGGAAAGCGTAGAAATAGGGCTTTGCGCTGGGACTTGGGATCTAGGCTTCAGTATCGTAGCGTCGAAGGTCTACTTGCTTGAGGGTCAGGGGACTTCGTGGGCCCTACCTGGGGGTTTCCTACATCTGACCTTTAGGGTTTAGGGTTTAGGGTTTAGGGTTTAGGGTTCAGGGTTTAGGGTTTAGGGCTTTGCCAAGGGACAAGATCCAACGCGATCCAATGGTTCCTGCTGCACACTGGGGCCCATGATACAAATACATCTGACCTCAGCCGCCATCATCACAACGGCAACCCTGAGCCCTACTTACTCTCTAACCCCTTTCGCTTCATGTGGAGCTTGGAAAATCTAGTGCAGGACATGGTGCCCTCCTCATTCAGAAAGACAGGTGCTCCGCTGCCCGCAGCACCATGTGGGGCAAAGCGAGTCTCGTTCAGCCAGCCTCTTCGAGCGCAGTGTGGGATTCAATCGGATTCAGGCAAAGTGTCGGAACGTGCGATGCAGATTTCCGGCCTTGCTCCTCGCAGACTCCTAGCAGTGCACTCCAGCAAAACAGAACAATAAACTGTGGAATCCGACTTCGAGCCTTTTCTAGATATTAATCCGAACGGTCTGCAGCTGCGTCTCCTGTTATCCGAAGTCCGGTTCCGACAGCGCCCACTGTGGCCATGTCTCGCTTGTGGCCCGGCAGACCGCTGCCATCGCAGCCACAAGCCACGGGACAGACCATCTTCACGGTGCGGAAGTTCACTGTGTTAACCCTCAGCGTGCTGCTGCCAACGCAAAAGTCCATGCCCGCCGTGCCTCCATAAGCAACGGCAAAGCATCCCTGGTCCACCATGCGGTCTGCCAGGAGCTCCAGGGCTTTGGACGTGAAGCCCCTCTGAGTAAAGAGCGCCTTTGCGCCGAGCGCATACGCCATCGTTTCGTTCAATTCACCATCCTTGCACTGGATACCCTCTGCAAGAGAGGCCAACTTCTGGGCGCACGCGGCCGGACAGCCGTTCGACACCCTGTCGAGCAGCAAACCGCCAAACGGGTCTGCACAGCCGCAGCTCAGGGGACACCACTGACGACTCCGCAAGCCAGCAATGCCCACTTGGGTGCAGTAGGGCACGACCGATGCACAGTCCGTCAAGGAGTCATTTTTAGTCACCATCTTCAGAATTTGGAGCCCCATGTGGGTCCACTCATCGACGCCCTTCTGATTGTCCCCATCCTCGCAGAGACGAGTGCCACCTGCTTCTACCACGCTTTGGGAGTCCACCTTCTTCCTTAAGCTGTCGAAGGTCGACACGTAAATGCTCCAAGGCTGCTCCTCGTCCGGAGGCGCATCCTTGATGAGGAGATCAGTGGCCCGGTGCACGTAGGAGGTCAGCTCTGTCTCGCCGGTGTCGTCGTACTCGCTGGTCAGACTGTAGTGAAGCCGCCCGAGGCCATCTGTGGCAACAGCAAAATCCTGACGGCCTCCGCACAAGCCTTCCCAGGTCTTGGAGCGGGCTTCAAGAGCAGGGGTCAACAAAAAGACATAGGACAGGGCCAGCATGACACATAGAAGTGCCAAGAGAAATGTTGGGAGGAGGCAGTCGTGATGGCTGGCCCCAAGACGCTCCAAGTTAAGAGGCTTCAAGCTCTGGATGAAGGTGCGCGTACGCCTTGGGGCAAAACCCGAGTAGAGCAGCTCGGCAACCTCCAGCACGAACTTTAGAGCCACCGCGTTGAGGAGGAGGTCTTGCACCGTTTCGGTGTAGACCAGATAGAGCGTTCCATACCAGAGCAAGATTGATTGGACAGTTGCCCGTGCCAGGACCGCTGTGAGGATGAAGCTTAGCCGCTTCCTAGACAGCTTGACAAGTGCAATCTGATCCTCTTCCAAATGGAAGACGGTGTGCCCTCGTGGTACCTCGGAGTTTCAGAAAATGATATCGAACCCCTCAATGGTAGCATCCTTATCACAACGGCCCTCAGATTAGGTACTCTTAGTTTCTGAAACCCAAACCTCGGAGAGGCCCAAGGCAAAGTGGAAGAGCTTTCCGTACTCGGCAATCATCGTTGCAAACCAGGTCAACAAGGCCAGTGCACACATGATGAATCCGGTACCTGGGCTGTTCCTTTCTACAGGCCTCTTTAAAGTTAGTCAAATTTGTGTCGGTCGCCCTTTTAAGAATGCGCGTACTTATGCATGTGTATATATATATATATATGTATGTATACCTCTCTCTATCATGTTAAACCGGAAAATGCATGTAAGAACTGCTGCGGTGCTCAGGAAAGAAAAGCCGTAGTCCGCGATGTTCTGTGCAATCTCCTTCTCACCTGGGTGCTCGTTCAGGTACACATAAAGTACCCTTGTCATCTACATTAAGGTCGTATGGGTAGGGGCCTTCATAGCAAGAATAGGGATCTATAAGGGCTACTATAAGGGTTTAGGGTTTAGGGGCCTGCCTTAAAGATGAGAGTCTTCACATACAAAGGGACCCCTAGAATAGACCTTGAACATGTCCATCCGTACGGTACTACTAGGACGCCGAAGCAAAGCAACCCCCGTTGTGAGAAACCTGATATTTCCTATCTAAAACCCTAACACAAAAACCTTGAAGCCCCCAAAGCCCTAAACTCCAAACCCACTTAGACTTAAGTAGCCCCTAAACCTTATGAAACCCAATTAAAAGGCTTCAAAGAAGGGAGTGTTGACTTTGCCCATGGTTAAAAAGGAAACTTGTTTGAAGGCACCGGTCGCACACCCTGACCCTAAACCCTAAACCCTAAACCCCAAACCCTAAACCCTAAACCCTGTTTTTTAGAGAGCCCTTCAGTGACTGAGGTCCTGGCTGAAGGAGGTAGCCAGGGCCTTGTCGAAGCCGCAGGCCCGGGAGGCCAAGGAGGTCATCGAGTTCCTCGGCTTTTGGTTGAGGGTCTTAGGGTTTAGGATTTGGGGTTCGAGGTTTAGGGTTGCTTCTTAAGGGTTTAGGCTTTAGGGTTCAGGGTTCAGGGTTCAGGGCTGTTTGTTGAGAGTGTGGGGTTTCGGGTTTAGGCTTTAGGTTGGGGCTGGATAAGGAGTTGGTGTTGTAAGGATTTATTGGGCTTTGTACGGCTTTGCTGAGCTGTAAAATGCTCCACTGGCTGCTAGGGAAATTAATTTGGAAATATGAATTTGAGATACCGCCATCAGGGAACTGTACTACTTAGCCAGCATTAAGTGTTCCTGAACACAGACCCAGCTTCGAGGAAACCTGGCTTGCCTTGTGAGCCATGTCGATCCGCCAGTAGCTCAGGGCATTCTGCGAAGAAGTGTCGTAGGGGTTTTCGGTGAAGCTCGTGGCAACCATGTAGCAGAACACCAACTGCAAGAAAATGGTGAGTCCCAGAAGGAACCTGGAGCATGACAAGACACCACAAGCTGTGATGAAACTCTTTCCAAACTTCTTTGTCCGGGATTGCTCTCCGCGACCAAGCGGCAGAAGCAAAAGCGATGAGCCATAACCGATGGCAGGGTGTCCGAAGCAGACGACCACATCCCAGCAGTTTTCTTCAAAAACATATCCCTCGGCGCTCTCCACGGGGTGCTCCGTAAGTCCTGTGCCTTTTGTGTCGTAATGTCTATGAACCTCAGCCGAGATCACGATATTCCCTGGCAAGAACAAACATATCATGAATGGTCTGGGCACATACACCTCCGTGCTGCTGAGGCTCGAGGTCACTCTCCGATGAGGAGGTTTCGCTGGCTTCAATATCTCCGTTGGGGTCCCCCTGCACGCCTTGCAAGGGCAGGCTACCAAAGCGAAGAGACAGCCACAGAATGATGGCCTGGATGCGGTCGGCGCGCATCGAACTCCAGCTGGTCGACACGCTTTACGACCTTGGCCAGGAATCTGCCCCAGATCCACAGCAAAGCCAGGGCACTTGGAACAGTTTGACATGGATCCTTCTCCTTCAAAGAGGCATCTGCATTGACCTGCTTAATCTCCGAGATGGCCGCTTCCAGCTGCAGCAGTCTCGCCTCCACCGGCCCGGAGCTGAACATGGCAGCTGCCTCTGCCTTTATCCAGCATAGAGACTTGACCCAAAATGGCAAAAGACGAAGATGAAGAGCACCGCAAAAGCAGTTTTTATACTCGGCCACTAGCAGAATCCTGCTGTCGGATTTTTACCGGCTGCGTCCTCGGCGGGCAGCAGAGGTCTCTCGCTGCCCTGAAAGTCCCGAAGTGTGACAGCGGAGAACTCGTCCTCACAAAGATACCAGAAGACTGCAGGACCGCAGTAGCAGTGGAACTTAAAAAACCCACCGGGCTTAATCACTGCGCCTCCACGCGATCACCTCCACTCACATTCCAGCTACGAGTTTTTCGTCCTTCCATACCTGTCAGGATCAGGGTGTGAACGCTTCAGCTGCGAGGGCTGGGGCTGTCATGCTGGACATTTCTCAGGCTGCCATCTCTATAGATGAGCTGAAAGGTAGCATACCAGTGTGAAGTAAGTACTTGCGTCTACACCAGCGAGTCCACGGAATGGAATGGCATATCTACAGAGGGAGAAGGGGGACCTGTCTTCGTGACACATATGTACAATGGTACACACAAACATGAACAAGTGGATACATGCATATGCACATGAAAGATGCACAAACATACGCGCATGATAGACGGGAGTTTCTTGACATAGGACGTCCTGCTGGTCCTACTAGTTGGGGTCTGTGGTGGGACGCTTACTTGCTGAAACTCCCATATTGTGTCTATCTGCTTGTATCTTTCGGTTATATGACGAGCACGCAAAGCGCCACCTTAAACCTTTTAAACCTGTATGATAGACCTGTAAAATCAGTCTGTAGAAGCACACAAAGACCCTTGAACTTCTTCCTCGTCTTCTCCTTCTAGAACCCTTCGAAAACCTGCATGGAGACCTTCTAGGAACATATGGAGGCCCTTTCGGAACCCTGTGGCAGCCTTCCTTTTCCTTCTGCAGACCGGCCTCCGTCCTGCGCCTTCGTCGCTTTGAGACTCTCGTAGCCCCTGTCCTCCGTCAAGCAGGGCGACTGCAAGGTCGGGACTCGTTTAGGGGCTTCTTTCGGAGGTTCTAGGAAGGGCTTCTGTAAAGCTCCCTAATATGGATGATATGAAGTGCTCGTTTCGGTGTTGGAGTGATGGCTTTAAGATGATTTCAGGCTTGGGGTGCAAGGGCGCTGGATGAATGTGTCTGAGCTGGAGCCCCTAATGACTCCCTCGACAGCAATGCCCGGCTTCTTCCAGATATGCCGAAACCCTAAACCCTAAACCCTAAACCCTAAACCCTAAACCCTAAACCCTAAACGCCAAGCCCTAAACCTCAGAGTCCTCGAAGCTTTCTGTGGTCTCACTGCTGAGCAGGTGAATTAGGGGACTTAGTGCAAAGGTTGCAAGTGGAGTAGCGCGTACCCAAAATTTGGTATCCCACTGACAACTTATGACTCTAGCTATAACCTGTTTATTAAGTCCCCTGATCCTGTAACCACACTCATAAACCCCATAAAGCTACAAAAAGAACACCCTTAAGTACTGTCCATGCTCAGCGCTCGGTGGCCTTGCCAGTGCCGGCGGCGTGGAGGGCTGCACGCAGCCTGCTTCGCGATAGACACGGCTTCCGGCTTTAGGGTGCAGGGTTTAGGGTACGGGGTACCGAGTTCAGGGTTAAGGAACAACAGCACGGCGAGCGATAGATGTCGGGATGTGGTTAGTACTGAGGGAATGATAACAACTGTGATGATTGTGCCAATAGCAACTGCAAGCATATGTTGAGAAAATGGATGCAAGCAAAACATCATCATGAAAAGATAAGAGAACCACAGCACAGCAAGTTGCAAAAAAAGTTTGGGTGCATCCGTCTTCCACAGGCGACTGCGGCCACTCGGGGGTAAAAGCAAATCACAACGATGACAGCATGAGCGACAACAAGACTAGCAGCAGCAGGAGCAGCAGCAGCAGCAGCAGCAGCAGCAGAAGCAGCACAGCAACATGCACGGACATCATAATTGTCGTAGTTGTTGCGATAATGCCAAAGCGCTCCAACTGACGCCGACCGTGATTAGTCACAACAGTCATAAATAGCACAAGCCGCCGTAGGTAATTCTACTACGAGGTGGAACGGCTGTGCATGCCACAGCCCAACCTCTCATAGAGTTTCTGCGACTCGTCAGACATTTGGGCGTTTGCGCCGCCAATGCCACGTTGCTCCTGAACCAGGTTTGCATGGGGCTAGGATTCCCCACCGGGCGAAGCATGCCACCTCTATCACGGCAACGCGTCTGCTCCACCGACGTGCCGCGTCTTTTGTCAGGCACTAGGCCACACGCATGCGGCGGCAGCAATGCTTCGCCACGGGTGCTGAACAGATTGCTATGCGATGAATTTCCTATTCAAACTGGTCTCGAGGTCTGAAAAGTTGCCTTTGGAGTCCCGCTCTGAATGTCGGCAGTCCATTCTCTGGCCCTGGTCTTGTCGACACAGGAAGGGTCCGAGAAAGGTAACCCTAGTTGCGCTCCACCGGCATCCATGAATAACGTTGAAGCTGTCGTGAATCTCATGCAGGTACTTTACGGGAGCATGCCGGTGTGCTATTCAGAAAGCGAGGCTCCAGAAATTGAGATGTGCAGAAGATTGCTCTCGAAGTCCAACTACACAAGGCACAGGGCACAGATTAAGCACCCACCTGGACATTCGCAGCTTTACAAGATTCCGAGTCACTCACGACTCCGGGCTGTGCATTGAAAGCAAGGGGCAGAATCCTTGCAGAGCACACAGAACTAAAGCAAAGCTTTCGCCACGCCTAAAGTCTACGTACACTGAGTCTACACCCTAATTCCGTGCCTCGAACCGCAGACCCGGGCCGCCAAAACCTCCAACCCGAAACCTTAAACCCTGAACCCGAAGCCTTGAACCCTACATGGAGGTTCATGGGTAGTTATAAGCATGGTTATAAGTCCCCTAATTTGGGATATGATTATAGTTACCCTACTTATAACTCCATTTATAGCTACCCATGGACCTCCAAGAAAACCCTTCACTCGATGGAACCCTTGAACCGATCCTGCACCGAGCCGAGGGGCCGAGCAACTACCACGCCACTCGGCGACTCTGCGACGCAAAAACCATGCAAACCACCTGGAAGGTGCTTTCTTTTAAAGACATGGTTCAGAGTTCAGAGTTGACTTGATTAAGAGCCCATAAACCTCCACAAGACTTCAAACATCAGCTAAAGATCCGTCTACAACTCCTTCTATAGAACCGTATCGAAACCTGAAGAACTCCCAAAAAAGACGCTTTAAAACAAAGACCCTATAAAGCGGCCTGTTGGTTTGTCGCACGCTTAGGGCTTCGATGCCACCACGGAAAGAATTTCGATGCAAACCTGAGGGAGATCAAAGGGTTCAAGAGGGGCTCGAGGGGGGCTTCTGGTTTAGGATTTAGGGTTTAGGGTTTAAGGCTTCGGCTTAGGGGCTTATGGTTCTGGAGTCTTGAAAAAGCTGATGGATGCTGCCTAGCAACTGCAAAAGTCCGAGTCTTCTTGTCGACAACGTCTTTGAAGTTCCAAATCTTCTTGACCTTCTGCGCATGGGTAGAGCATATGTAGCATATTCGGCATCACAGGCGATGCTCAAGTCATTGAAACGGACTGTCATATTTGGTAGTGCAGCCATGGACTAAGATGACAGAGATTGGAAGATAGAAAGTAGTTCAGCCATAACACTGCACACACCAGCTACCAGTATCGTGAACATCTTCACCAGACACATATAAGCATGTATGTATGTATGCATGCATGCATGCATGTATGTATGTATGTATGTACGTATGTATGTATGTATGTATGTATGTATGTATGTATGTATGTATGTATATTCATTTTCTGTTCTTATGTATTTGTTATAGAAATCTGTACATGTCGTGGTGAGAATGTGCTTTGTTAATTTGTGAATGTTGCAACAACCGTTGTTTCAGCTAACGAACTTAACAATAAGTTAGATAAGGAGCATATATACATTGATATGTACATATGTACAGACTTGCATACATGTCTGTTTCTCTCTTGCTCTATATAATATTTCTATATCCGACGTATATTGTACATCTATGTATACAGACATTCATATTCAAAACGAATATCAGAAAAGACATACCCGCTTGCACACCAGCACATGAACCATATATGTATAAATAATCAGCTTGCGGGATTACGTCACATCTCAACCGTTATCGCTTGATATGTACAAAATGAAAAGAAATGTCATAGAGAACAACAATCAGAATTGTTTTGAATGTGTATAGCAGAAAGCCACAAGTAAGCAACACCATGCAACATTATAAATGACCAAAACTTGGAATGCGTATAGGTTCCTGGAGGATATACTATCCCGGACACAACATATTAAACTCGATTTCCTCCCTATACACGTATGGATATTTCGAAACACGCGCATGTATGCATGTATATGTGCACTCTGTTCTCTGTTCTGGTCGGACGCCACCATGAGAAGCCAACGAAGACACCGTCTCCGCAACCTCTAAGTAGACGCCGCAAGCCGCCCCACCGGCCATGAGGGGATTTACCCTTCGAAGGCCTCCTCCTCCGCTGAGTCCACCAAGGGCTCCTCCAAGTTGCCTGCAGCTGTGTCCACACCGACATGGTCTGCAACAGCCACCGCCTCAGGGACATCCGTGGTCGCGCGTCTCGAACCTGGGCGCCCCACCTCCGCCGCGCGGCCTTCTTCGGCAACGATCTGGCACCACCGAGCATGCAAATCTCGCGTGAGCTCCACTTGTGTCTCGAGTGCCTTGCGGCTCCAAGCCACCGCCGCCGCCCGCCTCTGCAATCCCGCCTGGTGTTCCTCCCTGTGAGCCGCCAAAGCTTGCGTGGCTGTCCTGTCCGCTCTGGCATTGAGAGCTCGCGCCTGCGATGC